AGTTGTTCTTCGTTTCCTCTTTAAGCTCTCTGACTCCGATTGAGTACAACAATTGCAGCCAGTTTCCTCTCCATGTCATATTCCTAAAGGAGTGGAAATTTTCTTCTTCCTTCTGCTGAAGCCAGTCATTAAAACATGAAAAATGTTACAGTTTCCAGCTGTTCAGATAATTTAGAGCGACATAGCCCAGCGAGAGCAGAATCTGTTTTCAATACGCACTAGAGGGAACTCGAGGACTCAAAGCGAGGTCCTTTTTATACTGGTACTGGTTTAGGAACTGATGTACTCAAAGCTCTGATAGCGTTAACTCAGCTGTTTTCTATTAGAAAGAGTTTGAGATCTAAGCATTATAACTACAGAGGTGCCTACAGCGTTCATAGCAGAAATAAACTATATTTATGATAAGTCAGCGGAATTAAAAAAAAAAATTTAACATTTCATTTCGGAATACAGTTTCTGTTAGCATAATGGATTTTCTGAAAACCTTCGTATTTCAAATGCGAAAATAGTCGCAGGGGACAAAATTTTGGTAAGCATACCATTTTTCTCTTCCGTCCGGTTGCCGGCATCTTTTCCAGCTGTTTTCTTCTAATAAATCATCAAATTTGCACTCTTTTTTAAGGTTGATATTCATGTATGAAGATTCTACTCTCTTTCCCCCTTGTCTTTTCTATCCGGTCTCTTATATGATGGTGATGTCAGTGTTGATATTAATGATCCACCCAGTGGGCTATGGATTCAAGGATATACTCGTAAAGCTTTTTACTGGAACAACCAGGACTATTATCCGGCCAGGGACTACCACTGCAGTAATGTGCCCCGAAACTCAATATGGGGAATATTTTTACGTTCATTAAAAAAGCAACAACAACACAAGGATTTTATCGAGCTTTACAGAGACATTTTACCAAATATGTAACCGGCAATTAAGTTATAGAGCCACTCTAGCTATATTTTTTTAACTATGTATCCAGGCTTCACTCCGGTTACTTAGCATATCTTACACAAGAGTTTTGACATCTCCTTGGCGGGCTCCGAAGACCCAAAAACGGACATTCTGTATAGTATTTCAACTGTTGCTACATGTCCAGAATTAGACCTATATGTCATTATACCCCTCTAAAGCATTTAGACCTTGACTTTACTAATATCTGACAGCCAAATTAAAAGAGTCACAGAATTATCAAAGTTCCTTTGTATATGTAAATATATCAGTACCGAAAGTACACTCTGTTTGCTTAGTTTTTGGGCTACTAAATAAGCATAAAAACAGCCTCAAAACTACAGGCAAGTGTAACTTTTAGAAACTCACTGAGAACAAGACTTACTGTGTCCTTTATTTAATAGCTGTCTTCGCTTTCCTATAAAACTTTTTGTGGTCTGTTTCTGTTTGGAAGACGCGTTAGTCTTTGCTCTCCTTGTACTTTTATTATTAAAAATGCGTGTGTGTGTTTCTGCATGTGGTTAATAGCAAAGTTTCTTTGTCGTTAGAAGGGTTTATAGGCAAATTCGCACTTAATTTACGAGCTGTCTGTAGCGTCTTTGGAATATAAGATTTCTTAAACATTTTCTTTTGGCACCATAAAATATTCGAAGAAAGTACGTAAATGTCACTGACTGATTTGTTGGTCGACATTTGAATACGTTCTGCGCTATCCATGTATAGGTATGTGTATATGTTCTTCGAAATGAAAAACATGCATCTTTATACGTTTGACATGCAATTTCACTTTAATGACCATAATAACTTCTTAGCAATTTATTTGTCTCTCACTTGTTAGCCATTTGAATCCTGCGCTCGAGCAAAAGCCATAACATATTCTTCATAATTAAATGCGAAATACTGACATTAAAAGGATATAAAATTCGCTGCAATCATAAACTTTTAGGGCGCATAATTGAAACATATTTAAAAGTATATTTTTACTGGTATGTAAGTTTAACTTGCAAGATTCCACACTTTCTAACTGCTAATCTTAATGATTAATTTTTACACTTCAACTCTATTTAGAAAAGTTAATACCAAACAAACCATAGAGAAATAAAGTGAGAGTGATTCAATCAGTCCTTTATCTTTAAATTGACTTCGGCAAAGATATCGAAATCAATCCCATTGGTTTCATTGACAGAGCCCAAGAAACGGAAACGGCTCATCAAATTTGAGGTATGCAACCGGAATTTTTCCAAACATGTGGAGCTATGTATGTCTAAATTATCCTTAGTCAACTACATATTATCGTTTTGTATGGAGGGTAAAATTCTCTAGCCGTGGCAGTGAAAGTGCAAGACCCGAACATGGTGGGTTAGAAACCGAGATCGATAATGATGGAAAAGTCGGTCTGTTAACCGAATCTGACAAGGCGGCTGGAACTGATGGCTCACCGGCAAAACTATACAAAGATGGTGGTGAAGAGCTGATAAGAAAACACGCGTCAGTGTTTTTGCAGAATATAGTCGGATGCAAGTCCTAAGCGAAGTTCACCGCCCGCTCAGAGCTTCTGAGCAGGGCCGGATACAATATGTTCCGCAAGGATCCCGAGCAAGACCATGCACAATACCGTTCAGTATCGTCTTATCTATGGCGCCTCGACCGCAAGGATACTACCCTAGAATGTCAGGGCACAGCTATCCGGTCAGTTGGATACAGCCCTGATATTGGTGCGCTACTTAGGGGCAAAAACATTTGGGCGCATTACGATATTTGGCATTCTAGCCTGTCAAATGACCGTGGAGCAATGGAGCTGGCAGAACAGATGGACGATTTGACATGCTGCCCAACGAACGATAACACCTCTACCAGGGCTATGGGTAATTTCCAAAGCTCGCCCGATATAACAATTGCGAGCGCTGGTCTGATAAACACAGGTCTGGTGACCTGGAACTGAACCTCCACCTAGGCATATCAGAAAGGGAGATCTCGATTAAAAAACACTACCCAGCAACATGTACAACAACCTTTGGGCAGGATGGCGCACAGGCAGGCACTGAACGCCATTCACCAGGAGTCAGTCAACACCTTCAAAGACTCGCTTTCAGTGAATGGCGTGCTAGGAGCAAAACCACCATACATTACAGACAATGAGCTCAAGCTGTGTCGAGAGACCCACGTGACTTTGGCACAACTTAGGTCTGGGTACTGTAACAGGATAAACTCTAAAACAACATCATGGCAAGCAGTGTCTTTAAGCTCTCTGACTCCGATTGAGTACAACAATTGCAGCCAGTTTCCTCTCCATGTCATATTCCTAAAGGAGTGGAAATTTTCTTCTTCCTTCTGCTGAAGCCAGTCATTAAAACATGAAAAATGTTACAGTTTCCAGCTGTTCAGATAATTTAGAGCGACATAGCCCAGCGAGAGCAGAATCTGTTTTCAATACGCACTAGAGGGAACTCGAGGACTCAAAGCGAGGTCCTTTTTATACTGGTACTGGTTTAGGAACTGATGTACTCAAAGCTCTGATAGCGTTAACTCAGCTGTTTTCTATTAGAAAGAGTTTGAGATCTAAGCATTATAACTACAGAGGTGCCTACAGCGTTCATAGCAGAAATAAACTATATTTATGATAAGTCAGCGGAATTAAAAAAAAAAATTTAACATTTCATTTCGGAATACAGTTTCTGTTAGCATAATGGATTTTCTGAAAACCTTCGTATTTCAAATGCGAAAATAGTCGCAGGGGACAAAATTTTGGTAAGCATACCATTTTTCTCTTCCGTCCGGTTGCCGGCATCTTTTCCAGCTGTTTTCTTCTAATAAATCATCAAATTTGCACTCTTTTTTAAGGTTGATATTCATGTATGAAGATTCTACTCTCTTTCCCCCTTGTCTTTTCTATCCGGTCTCTTATATGATGGTGATGTCAGTGTTGATATTAATGATCCACCCAGTGGGCTATGGATTCAAGGATATACTCGTAAAGCTTTTTACTGGAACAACCAGGACTATTATCCGGCCAGGGACTACCACTGCAGTAATGTGCCCCGAAACTCAATATGGGGAATATTTTTACGTTCATTAAAAAAGCAACAACAACACAAGGATTTTATCGAGCTTTACAGAGACATTTTACCAAATATGTAACCGGCAATTAAGTTATAGAGCCACTCTAGCTATATTTTTTTAACTATGTATCCAGGCTTCACTCCGGTTACTTAGCATATCTTACACAAGAGTTTTGACATCTCCTTGGCGGGCTCCGAAGACCCAAAAACGGACATTCTGTATAGTATTTCAACTGTTGCTACATGTCCAGAATTAGACCTATATGTCATTATACCCCTCTAAAGCATTTAGACCTTGACTTTACTAATATCTGACAGCCAAATTAAAAGAGTCACAGAATTATCAAAGTTCCTTTGTATATGTAAATATATCAGTACCGAAAGTACACTCTGTTTGCTTAGTTTTTGGGCTACTAAATAAGCATAAAAACAGCCTCAAAACTACAGGCAAGTGTAACTTTTAGAAACTCACTGAGAACAAGACTTACTGTGTCCTTTATTTAATAGCTGTCTTCGCTTTCCTATAAAACTTTTTGTGGTCTGTTTCTGTTTGGAAGACGCGTTAGTCTTTGCTCTCCTTGTACTTTTATTATTAAAAATGCGTGTGTGTGTTTCTGCATGTGGTTAATAGCAAAGTTTCTTTGTCGTTAGAAGGGTTTATAGGCAAATTCGCACTTAATTTACGAGCTGTCTGTAGCGTCTTTGGAATATAAGATTTCTTAAACATTTTCTTTTGGCACCATAAAATATTCGAAGAAAGTACGTAAATGTCACTAACTGATTTGTTGGTCGACATTTGAATACGTTCTGCGCTATCCATGTATAGGTATGTGTATATGTTCTTCGAAATGAAAAACATGCATCTTTATACGTTTGACATGCAATTTCACTTTAATGACCATAATAACTTCTTAGCAATTTATTTGTCTCTCACTTGTTAGCCATTTGAATCCTGCGCTCGAGCAAAAGCCATACCATATTCTTCATAATTAAATGCGAAATACTGACATTAAAAGGATATAAAATTCGCTGCAATCATAAACTTTTAGGGCGCATAATTGAAACATATTTAAACGTATATTTTTACTGGTATGTAAGTTTAACTTGCAAGATTCCACACTTTCTAACTGCTAATCTTAATGATTAATTTTTACACTTCAACTCTATTTAGAAAAGTTAATACCAAACAAACCATAGAGAAATAAAGTGAGAGTGATTCAATCAGTCCTTTATCTTTAAATTGACTTCGGCAAAGATATCGAAATCAATCCCATTGGTTTCATTGACAGAGCCCAGGAAACGGAAACGGCTCATCAAATTTGAGGTATGCAACCGGAATTTTTCCAAACATGTGGAGCTATGTATGTCTAAATTATCCTTAGTCAACTACATATTATCGTTTTGTATGGAGGGTAAAATTCTCTAGCCGTGGCAGTGAAAGTGCAAGACCCGAACATGGTGGGTTAGAAACCGAGATCGATAATGATGGAAAAGTCGGTCTGTTAACCGAATCTGACAAGGCGGCTGGAACTGATGGCTCACCGGCAAAACTATACAAAGATGGTGGTGAAGAGCTGATAAGAAAACACGCGTCAGTGTTTTTGCAGAATATAGTCGGATGCAAGTCCTAAGCGAAGTTCACCGCCCGCTCAGAGCTTCTGAGCAGGGCCGGATACAATATGTTCCGCAAGGATCCCGAGCAAGACCATGCACAATACCGTTCAGTATCGTCTTATCTATGGCGCCTCGACCGCAAGGATACTACCCTAGAATGTCAGGGCACAGCTATCCGGTCAGTTGGATACAGCCCTGATATTGGTGCGCTACTTAGGGGCAAAAACATTTGGGCGCATTACGATATTTGGCATTCTAGCCTGTCAAATGACCGTGGAGCAATGGAGCTGGCAGAACAGATGGACGATTTGACATGCTGCCCAACGAACGATAACACCTCTACCAGGGCTATGGGTAATTTCCAAAGCTCGCCCGATATAACAATTGCGAGCGCTGGTCTGATAAACACAGGTCTGGTGACCTGGAACTGAACCTCCACCTAGGCATATCAGAAAGGGAGATCTCGATTAAAAAACACTACCCAGCAACATGTACAACAACCTTTGGGCAGGATGGCGCACAGGCAGGCACTGAACGCCATTCACCAGGAGTCAGTCAACACCTTCAAAGACTCGCTTTCAGTGAATGGCGTGCTAGGAGCAAAACCACCATACATTACAGACAATGAGCTCAAGCTGTGTCGAGAGACCCACGTGACTTTGGCACAACTTAGGTCTGGGTACTGTAACAGGATAAACTCTAAAACAACATCATGGCAAGCAGTGTAGGTATTTAGACACTAGCGTCGCTCTTGTGTAAGTTGGCTAAAACAACTCTTCCTTTGAAATTTTATAAATAAATATAGTGTTTGAATCAAACACCACGGACTCCCAGACACTCCAAACCCTTATAATTAGCGCAGTCCGTATGGCAACCGAACATTCTAGACAGGAATTTAAAACCCAAATAGACGAGCTTACAAATAGGTAAACTTGAATTGAGATCCCAACTCAGGTGATTCAATATGAACCAGTTACAATTGAACCAAATGTATTTTTTAAGATTAACTAGACCTAGTAAAGAACATGCCGGAATTCGAGGGTGATCCTACCCGTTATGTCTCCTGGAGGCAAGCGGCGCACACGGCGTATAAAGTATTCGAAGGATAGCATGGTATTTATAAGCACTGCCAGGCAGTAGGCATCATAAGAAACGAGGTGGTAGGTGCTTGGACAGTGTACTTTCGTCCTTCAACACATTCTTGAATTTTAAAGCAATTATTGCAAGGTTTCGCATACACCTATAAAAGGCCTATCCATCTAATAGAGCAGAAGTTGTCGACCTTACGGCAGGGTAAACAATCAGTGATAGCGTTCTACGATGAGGTCAAAAGAAAACTGACCCTCATAATAAACAAAACGATTATGGATCACGGTGGAAATGCAACCCTAATACAGTCAAATACCGATACTGTGACATAATGTTTTCCTCCAGGCCTAATAACCTTCCTTTCGATTTAGCACATGAGCTTGAAACAAATCAAGCTAGGTCCATGTTTGCCCAGTCCTTTAACAGGTACAAAAAATAAACAACCTTACCCAGGAACAGGACGAGTCTGAGGGAGAATACTGGAATAACACCAGCTAAAATAATTACTACCAAAGCGACGTAAAATATTTTGTAAAAACGACTACTTAGTTTTGACGGTGGACAAGAAAAGCTCTTTTACCCTCTACTGCCCGGATGTTAATAAATTAATAGGTACGAACGTGAGTGAGTTGGACATTCCCGCACTGTAGCAACGACACGCTAAAGTTTTCGCGGACCCCAGAGAAGTTCTACCCTATAATACCAATAATAGAGGAACAATAAGAACCATCAATGACCGTCCAGTTTACTAGTGGACTTACCCATACCCCATAACTTCAGCCGCGTTTGTCAATAAGGAGATTTCAAATCTTTTTCGTGACGGTACAATAAGCTCATTCGGTTTTTTTTATAATAATCCATCTTGGGTTGTAAGTAAAAAGGGAATCGAAGACTCGTGATAGACTATAGGAACCCTAACAACAAAACAGTTAGTGACAAGTATCCGATACTTCCGTGATGTTGGCTAACATTGAAAATGCCAGGTTTTTCTCAACAATAGGTCCCAAGCCCGGCTTCAACCAAATTAAGCTAGCTTAAAAGGATCGAGAAAAAACGGCATTCTCGGTCAATAACTGCAAGTACGAGTTCTGTAGGCTCCCCCTTGGTTTAAGACATGCGCCCAGTATTTTTCAGAGGGCTATTGATGACGTTTTAAGAGAATAAAGCGGTAAATATGCCACGTCTACGCAGATGATGTCATAATTTTTTCGGAAAATGCTGAGGAACATTTATAGAACATAGACCAGTTACTACCCAAAATTTGTCTAAAGAGGGTATCGCTATTTCCAAACCCTTGTGACCCTTACAATCATTCTTAGGGTTAGCTGGTTATTACAGACGATTCGTAAAATACTATGCTGCGATCACAAAACCCCTAACAAAATACCTACGTGGAGAAAATCGGAATATCGGTACTAACCAATCGCGGAAAATAGAAATAACTTTAGACGAGGAAGCGACAAAGCGACTTTAAGCGTTTGGTAAAGTTAATAAAATGCTTGCATCAGAAGACGTACTGCTCCTCACCTTGACTACGAACAACCTTTTGACCTGCCAACGGACGGCTCTTCACATATCACATTTGTCACAAAACGGTAGACCCATCACCATGATCTCGAAAACCCTGTCTCCGACAGAAGAAATCTACGCGACCACCGAAAGAGAGCTCTTGGCGATCGTATGTGCCCTACAAAAACTGCGTAACTATTTGTACGGCGCCAAACACTTAAACATGTATACTGATCAACAGCCAATCACCTTCGCTTTGTCTGATAAAAACCCAAATGCAAAGATGAAAAGGTGGCGCGCTTTTTTTGAGGAGTACTCAAAAAATTTCGCTACAAACCAGGTAAAGAAAACTTTGTGGCTGATGCAACATATAAATGCACGAGGTGGACACAGAAAGTATGGCCACCAAGCGAGTCATCACTTACTCAAGCAATACCTACAGTAAAAAATCTTATTAATTGTTTCCAAACTCAGATAGTTCTTGAAGAGGGTGCCCAATTGCCAGTTGGTACGTAAATCCTTTTTAGGACACTAAAAAACATGTTATCGACGTTTTCAGAAGACAAAAAAGAAATCCTCCAAATCCAATATAATCATGCACATAGATCCTGTCGTGAAAATGAACAGCAGGTCCTAGAAAATTACTACATTCCTGACTTAAGAAAAATGTTATTAGAAATAGTTTCAAATAGCAAAATATGTCATGAAGCAAAATACCAGCGGCATGTGGCTAACCCCGAAATGGGATCAACTCCCATACCGTCGAACCCAGGAGAAATCCTTTACTCTGACATTTATTCAACATCAATAGATACGTTATCTAAATTTGCAATTGTTTATTCTAATAAAATCTAGAGCCATAGTAGATATTAGAGAACCAACACTAGGGTCACTGAATTCTGAAACTATTAAAGCAATTCTAAAAATCACTTTGGTGTCACGATCTTCACCACGGCACCGGCTCACAGTACGACTAACAGCCAGGAGGAAAGGTTTCACAGTACACTTACGGAAATCGTACGCTGCCAGAGACTCAAGACTTGCATTTCCGACACGACCGAAATAATTCTGCTGGCAACGGCTAAGTACAGACGCACAATTCATTCCGTGACAAAAAGAAGACCAATAGACATCATGCACGCAATGTCGGACGAACTGATTAACGAAATAAAGAACAGACTTATGTGTATCCAACAAAATGATTTGAAAAGGCACAATACAAAAAGACAAACAAGACAATATAAACCAGTGCAAAAAAGTTTTTGTAAAGACCAATAAAGAAATACGAGAGATTGGCCGATTTAACAACATTGCGCCATTTGTTTCTTCTTTTTGTTGTTTGGCGCCAATTGGAAATACCAAATACAGCCAGGTCCTTCTCTACATGGTCTTTCCAACGGAGTGGAGGTCTTCCTCTTCCTCTGCTTCTTTCGAAAACTACCCGCACCTTATAGCAGGACGGGAACGATGAGGGACTTGTAGAGTTTGGTGCTCGTTCGTCGGGTGAGGACTTTACTTTTCAATTATCTACCTCTTTGCAAGAGTGATTCTGCGCTATTTTTCAAGGCTGACGTTATTATTGGTGTTAATACTGGTTCCTAGATAGACGAAATTATCTACGACTTCAATGTAATGACTGCTAACAGTGACTAGGGAGCCAAGTTGCGAATGTGATGACTGTTTGGTTGATGACAAAAGATATTTCGTCTTGTTCTCGTTCACTACCAGTGTGATTTGGTTACCTATGTTTTTATCGATGGACGTAAAGTTCACTAAATCGACTTAAAACACTGAAAACTCTCCTTCCTCCTTGGGGTAACTATGCTCTTGATTATGGACCACTGGGCTAACGCAAAGACTTTTAACTATATGAGCTCTCATTACATCTCGATCGTAACCAGAAAAAAAGCCTAAATGGGAATTATGAGTATTTACTCCACACGACAAACTTGTCGGAAGTCGAGGCGATAGCCGAAGAGATGGACACAATGTTAGAACAATTCCCACTTTCCCATGCCAGACAACTTCTCCGAAACGACGCTGACGAAATATTAAAACTGATAAACGCGGTCAGGAAATATCTCCGACATGCACGAGGTATTAATATAATAGGTACTGCATTAAAGTACATAACCTGCACTCCGAACTTTGACGACTACCAGACAATTGAGACCAGAGCCAAAGCCCTATTAGGGCTAGGTAGCAACTGAACAACATGCAACGATTAATCCAGCTACCCAGAGGCAAATAAAATAACTGGCGGTGATTTTTAACCAATTTTTAACACAGGCATAACCGAAGCAGATCGACACGGGAAGTCTCTTTTCTTTAGTCAGCACTAGAAATAGAGCGGTAATAGTAATTAGAAACCATGATTACGAAAGCAGCTCTAGTAAAGGAAAATATTATTAAGCCCATTCTGCTTAATGACATTGAAATAAGTAATATATTATCTGCTGAACTCACTGCAGATACTAGTATAACTTACATACCTTCAGTTTCAAAATTTGAGATATTTCAAAATACACAGTTTATTTATTTCATTATTAAGTATCCAAAAATAACTAGAATTTGTAATAAGGTAAAGTTGTAGCAAGTAATCCAGGAAGGGGAGATTATTTCCTTAGAAACGAACCTTCTGACTGAATGCAACAAAGAATACATCCCACTTTATAATTGTAAAGAAGCCATAATAGCAAACTTCTGCCAGCCCTTGAAAGAAAGTTCTTGCCATTGAGAAGATCGATGACGGCGTAATTCTAATTAATGACCAGCCCGCTGTAATACAAAACGAAAATTTGACAAAAATGACTAGAGGTACGTTTTTGATAACAAACAAAGGTGATATTATGATAAACTCCACTTTTTACAGCAACTGAAATGAGGTAATGCGTTCACATACCGAGGCCGTACATCACGTTAACTTCACCGAACATATTGAGCTCATATCCCTTCCCCAAATACAAAGAATTAATAAAAAAAAATTTCATGCACATGACAAGCGGGAAGCGCCTTGCTTTTAATCGGATTAGCCAGAGTTATGGGCATAACAATACTTCTGAGAAGACTACAAAAAAATATGGCAGTACTGAAGAATATCATAACAGAAACCGCAGGACATTGCAAGGCAGCTTTTGCATACGACATAGACAAACTAATATACAAAGTGGTTTTACGCCATGCTTCCGCTTCCGAAAAATACCACAGCGATTTCGCAAGAAATTAACTTAAATGAAGGTGTTTTTGTTATATTTATCTTTTGTTACTATTAGGTATTAAAGAAAAATATTGAAAATGCCAACAAACCTAGGGAAAAAATAATCTACTTTTGGATCGCATGAGCATTTTTCTACTTAAGAACTAAGTTTGTTTTCAATTCCTCAACAACTCTGAAACCCACTTCTATAACATACGGGGTTATTCAATGTACGTTTTGGTAAATTTGAAGAACTTTTAGAAGAACTTTTTCATGAAATTTTTTATTTATTATAAAGTTTGATTCTGACGTTATATGTGAAATACCATTTAAGTAACCGCCTCGCGGCCTCCGCAAATTTTGATCCATTTTCAGTAATTTGCGCCTTCTTTTTGGCACATATTGGACTGTATCTCAGCCATAAATAGTCAAGCCGCACGATTTCAGTGGCCAATTGACATCATTTGTTTGACATGTGGCAAAATCTTGTCGGAACCACTGTTATTATTTTCCAGTGGCTAGATTTATTGGCCATCTTGGTCATTGGTCACTGAAAGAGAAATTCATGGGCTTTAACTGTTTCTGGATGACCCTGTGACTAGGTCGAGTGCACTGGCATATAGGCCCGCATCACCGGCTAGCTCGTAAGTTTAATACAAAGTCAACAACAACAATTACCCCACTTACCCAAATGATACAACAAGTAAGTGTTCCTGCACACTAAAAAAAAGCAACAAGATGGCTTCTAACCTAACCAAAAACCCTAATTATTCTAGCCCAATAGCTAACATGCCCTGCAGCTAATAGGTACATCTTAATAGCTGCGTCTTTATCCGCAATTAATTGGCGTTGTTGTTATTGAAAAAGCCCCATTGATCCATATTCACGCTTACCAATCAGACGACACTTTCAGGTAAAACGTACATGACTAACATCGGATTTAGTTACTTATTACATTTCAAAATGCAATAATGTGCCTTAGCTTGAGACAACGCGACATAATGTACAATATGTTGTAGCATTTACTAGATTACTTTCAAGGTAATATTTTCATTGCAATTTCGTCAGAAACTATTAGCACGTTTATCGTAGTCAGTCAAATTAATGATCTTAGTTCGTCCATTAGAGGACCCCGAAAAATGTTCCAGCGTCACCACTTGGGTCAACTGCGTGGGCAAACACACTCCTTATGACGCTCGGATGAAGAACCATAAATGCTTGGTACGATCTACCAAAAAATAATCAACATTGTAATAATTCCACTTTAGCAAAGAAAAATATGCTTTACTTATTCGTAATTGTTAATACTGACTTTAAAGAAAAATATTCAACCTTTGTTATATAGATATAGTTAATTTTAAATATTGTAGATACTACTAATACTAATACTTCGGTTATTGATATAAAGACTTGACGATGTTGACTCCGCGAATGCTGTTCAGAAAAGAACGTGAAGTTGCCGATCACGCTTTGACCATGAAGAACACCGGAAGTTGGGGCTTGTCAAACCACTTCTGAATGTCATTATCATATGGTCATCGGCTGTGTTCAGTGAGCACAAGTCGATAGAGAGGTTTAGATTGTTATATATAGCTAGGTGGTAATCCTTGCTAATAATGATGCACTAATAATGATTTGAAAACGAACATTATAAGAAGTTTATACTGATGCCCCGAAGATTGTTCATCTGATGTATTTACGACCGTTCACCACATATTGTTCAAGGTGCATTCTTCCAGTGCAGACCAACACAGTCGGTTCTTTGACACCCATATCGCTTCGAATTGACAGTGATAGTCCCACTGTTGTCATTTTCAAAGCAATAAATCGGCAAAATGATCTTCAAAGGTCGTACTCTTGAATACGGAGCCACCACCTGCAAGGCACAAGCTCACGTTTGTTTATAACTGTTTTTAATACGTTATAGTCTGTAATACGTTTGCCATAGATATAATATTTAAGCCGTTCAATTGAATCGACAACAGCCATAGCTTCAAACTCGTAGCTACGAAATTACTTTCCATTGTCTATAGCCGCACGACTGCTGTAAGCAACAATCGTCGCCTTCTTTTTGCATTAACACCTCCGCTAAACCGTTATAAGCAGTAATTACCGGCCGAAAAATAAAAACTATCTTTATTTCTTCATCATTTGACCACCTAAATGTTTCGTGTTTTCCCAATAATTTGTTCAACGTACCAGCAATGATACCATACCCAGTGACAAATTTTTAGAAATAGCCGCTCTTAGCTTTAGATTTAGCTAAACCCGGAGATGTACTGTCTGGTATTAGATCGTGGCCCAAAATTTCCAGGGTTGTTTTGAAAAACTCACACTTTTGCAAATTAAGCGCAATGTTAGCTTTTTGTAATGCTCTCAAAATACGTTCAAGTTTTTCGTACATATCACACACCGTCAAACTACCGATTAATATATCGTTAATATAATTGATCATGTCGTTTGTTTTCATACTTTAATTTCGACGATAAGACACTGAAAACCGGCCGGGGCATTTTTGAGTATGCGGAATGCTTTAAACTCATATAAACCCATAATAAACGCAGTATACTTTCAGCTGCTTTCCTCGATAGCAATTTGATAGTAGCCACAGTTAAGGTCTGGTATCGAAAAATATTTAAAACTTTCAGCTAGCTATAGTTCTTATTCTATTGTATATATGGCGATGGAAATATTTCTTTCCGCATTTGTTGATTCAATCATTGAAAGCAGATTCCGACTCTGATTTACAAATAATGTCATTATCAAATAGTTTCTTCAACATATCAACAATTACTTTCTTCTTGAGCTCAGGAACCTGAAATGGTTTCTGAACTATGAGTTCAGTACGTCCGATTGCACTTCAATTTGTAGCAAATGGAACACGATAATTATCTATTAAATCGAGTAGTTTATTTTTATTTTCTTTGTCGTCTATTGCGCATTTTATTTTCTCAGAGTGCAAATCTTTTCAATTGCTATTATTAGCAATCTTAATACAAGCACTAGCAATTGATATGTAACCATTTTCGTGTTTTTGAAAACATCTTGCCTTAACAGCAAGTCTATATCAATCGTTGACATACAAATAAACGCCTTCCTAGCAACTGTCAACCTTTAAGTTTACACGTGATTTTGAATAAGCATATATGACACCACCACAGAACCCACTTACCCTGATCAACTGATTAAACTGCATTCACATTAACCTTAAACCATCTATCCACACCATTTTATTCGAACGCGCCATTCTACTTTTCTTTCTATAACTTTCAGCTTCACCTTTAGGATGAACTTTTCGGCAGTCA